CGACCTCGGTCTTGCCCAGCTAAGTCTACGGCGCCCCGCGGCGGTGGGTCGGGGCAATGAAGTACGACGTGCTGGAGTCTCCCATGTGGGTGACCTTGGTCTTGCCCAGCCGAGCCTACGACACTGCTGTGGGTCGGACGGACAAAAGTCCGTCCGGGACGGGTGGCTGGAACTCGGTGGCTTCGGACACGGCGGTGTCTGCGAAGTCCCCTGTCGGATGCTGCACGGTCCCAGCCCAGGCATCATGACGAGGGATGGTGACCACGAGGTGGTATCTCGGCCGTGGAGACAGCCACCAACACCCGCAATTGGGATAAGGGGGGAAGGGGTGTTACCGCCTGGGCGGTCTTCTGGGGTAGAGCGCACAGGGCGAAGGCACACGGGCCGGAGGCCGGAGGGTGGCCGATGGCTCAGGGTGTGTGTGTGTGTGTATGTGTGTTTCTATGTGATAGCCTATCGTCACTCTGCACCCGGGGCATGCCCTGGGCTCAGGGGGGGTGGGGGTTACCCGCTGGGTGAGCGTGCTCTCTCAGAAGGGGGGAATGAGGCACAGGAGCCTCATCCTCTATTAGGGGTCCTTTCTAGGTGACGGCTGGGTTGTCGGGTTTGCTAGGTTGTGGCGCTCGGGCGGGTACGCCCCCCGGTGCGTGCTGCGGCCCGGTGTGGCCGCTGCCTTGATCGGTGTCCCAGTGGGAAAACCCAACGCGAGGGTCCGGCCGCGGCGCTGTCCCGTAAGTCCGGGATGTAGTCCCGGCTGGGGGAGCGGCAAAGCTGGTATCAAAGAAGGGCGGGTTGGTTGCGTGCGGGTGCTGTCTCGATCGTGCCCTCAAACAACCTCTCCTGCAACACCCGTGGGAAAAGGCACTGGAGTTACACTTCTCAGTGATTCATTCAGAGAACGGGATATCCGAGTGCACGGTGGCTGGTGATAGTCGGCAACGGGGGACGCGCCGGTGATCCGCTATGGCAACGCTGGGGTTCACGCCCCCTGATCCGTTAGGCTAAGGCCGCTGTGCACTTAGGCCCCGCTGCGATGAAGGTACCACCAAGGGGTGTTACCTGAGCTATCTATATGAAGCGTACTGCTGGGGGTGTCGGTGCCTGGAACCACGGGTGGGAGAAGAGCGCAAAAGGCGTGCACTTCTTTTCCTTTCCATGCCGCCACCTTACCGTGGTGGAGGGGTACCGGCGATCCGATGAAGGCTCGGCGGCAGTACCTTTCGGTTTCGGCCGGAAGGGGAGGCCCCTACCTGAGGATTGCTGGCGAACGGCGGCCCTCACGTCAGGCACTGGCCTGGCGTGGGGTGTGTGGATGGATGAATGGGCCCCGGTCGGCCGTGCGTGGATATTCCTCGTAGACTACACCTGGGGGGTAATAACCCTCAGGTGCCCCCTGGCTCACTTCGGTGGGTCAGGGGAGTAGCCGGGAACCCGGGTCATGTTGGTACTTGACCTCTGTTGTTAGTAATATGGGGGACTGTTACTGTGGGGATGCATGAGTGGAGTGGCTTGCCACTTCACTCTTTCTCTCCGCAGTCGCACTGGACCCGTGAAACCGACATGTTAATGTGGGAAAACCGCTGACCCGGGTCTGTCTGGAGTAAATGCGGTGATTGAAGCGCGCGTGCAGGGCGGGGGAGTGGGGCGCGGTCTGACCAGCTTGCTTCCATACCCGCTGCCACCTAGGGCAAATGGTGGCACGTCTAGCCCGAGGCGGAGATTACCTCTCGGTTCGTATCCGGGAGGATCTCGCGCGATAGGGGTGACGTTAAACCTCTAGCTTCACAGTGGGCCTGGCCGTCTCCAGGAATCTTTTTCGTAGAGTCACGTGGTGTGGATAGGGTTGGTCACCTGACAAGCCGCTTCTCGGCTTCCACATCTTTATCTAGGGTTTCTAACAGGCGTGGAAGATGTTCCACTGCGGTGGAGCTGCCATGATGGCCGAAGCGTCTTTAGCCAAATATTACTGCCAATATGTCCTCACTTACAAAACCACGATGAGGGGGGAGGAGAGCGATAACGCTCGTAACGACGAGGCTAGCTTCGGCAAGCTGCCGCCCCGGGCAGCTAGAAGCGGCTTAGTGGAGGAGGCGCGAAGGACCGGGGGGGTGGGGGGAGCCCTGTCTCCTGCCGCGGCGTCAGCGTCACGCCAAAAATGCTGACGCGTGCAAGTTCCCACGCCAAAGGGTCGACGCGAAGAGCGAAAAGTGTACGCTCCAGGAGCCCGAAGATCCTTAGGGCGGAGGACTCAGAAGTCCGAGTCGAGAACTCAATCTGGTCCACCCAGTCCGACTCGTCAAATGACGAGTGGGAAACGGAGCGGGACAGGGAGAGGGACAGAAAGAGGAAGAGAGGTCAGGGCAGACCAGCCAAGGACCTGGAACATGAAGGTGTAACGAGGCATTCCCACCTCGTTCCTAGTTTTAAGTAAATCTATCATAGTTATATCCTAATCAATTATTATAGTCTATTTCCTTTCTTGTTCTCGACCGTTGTCGAAGTTGAAAATATATTTATGTTACGTTCTCCCCGCTGTACTTAATTTCGCTGCCCGACACCCGTTAGACGACCAGCACGCCGGGAGACCGGTAGTCCTCCCGTTCGCCGCTACGCGGCGCGAACGCGAGGTTGAGGCAGCACTCGCAGTTAAATTTCCGCGGCCGCCTCTATAAAAGAGGGGCTCGCGGAACCATCGAGAGGAGTTCACCGCCGGTCTCCTAGGAGACCAGCACGGGAGCGTGACACCGCGAACTCAGCCTCTCGAGGCACACCAGTTCCAGCCGACGACGTGCCGGGTTTCGGCCGCCGATCGAACTCAGAGGAGAGCGTGTCGGGCTTCGACCGTGACTCCAGAGCACCGTGTTCCAGACGACGACGTGCCGGGTTTCGGCCGCCGATCGAACTCAGAGGAGAACGTGTCGGGTTTCGACCGTGACTCCAAAGCATCTTGTTCCAGACGACGACGTGCCGGGTTTTGGCCGTCGATCGAACTCAGAGGAGAGCGTGTCGGGCGTCGACCGTGACTCCACGATTCACCGTTCCAGGCGACGATGTGCCGGGTGGAAGTCAACCCCAGGAACGACGCGGCCCAGAGCCCGGACCGCGGCCCGCCGCCACCGCGACCGCCCACCCTTCCGACTTGCACCGGCAAAACCGATCGCACACGCCTCGGCGCAGTATACACGCCACTCACTGTACACTAAATTAATAAACTCTCGTTGTAAGTTAGCAAAACCGAGTGCATTACTGCCATCTCTCTCTCCTATTACGATCCTGGACGCCGGCGAGCTTACCCAAGCGATAAAACCGAAAGTAAACGAACGAGGCGAGAGAAGTGACCCCGTTACAAAGGCCAATTCACAGCTGATGCCCTCAAGGAGAAGAAGCGCGAGAAGAAATTGCGGCGACAGGAGGCGGAGGAGGAGAAGATCTTGGACCCCACGGTCACCCTTCGCTACGGTTCCAGGCTGGCGAAGAACTGCAGGGAGGAGCGCGAGATTCTTCTTGGATATAAGGAGATTTCACCTGCGAGCCTCTTTGCCATAGTGACCGAGTAGGTGGCAATGGTGCGCAAAGTAGCGCAATGCTGCACCAACCTGAAGGGCACGACGATAAAAGCCCTTTGGGATGCCAGCATTAACATCTCGGCGGCTGCAACAGCCTTGAATCTCCGGGCCCAGATCTCCGGACAGGTGGTGACAACCCCGGAGTGGGAGGAGCTGCGGGAGGAGGTCCGTCAGTTCCGCGGGGACATGTCCCACTTGAGGACAGAAAATAAAGCCTTCAAAGCGGAATTAAGGAAGGAGAGAGCGGAGAGGGAGAAAATAAAAAAGGAGGCAAGGGAGAAGGAGAGAGTGGAGAGGGAGAGGAGGAAGAGAGGAGCTGGCGTTGACAGCCCAGCCCGCATCTCCTCCCCCACATCTCCCGGAAGACCCAAAAGGCAGGCTGCTGTCCAACGTCAGAAGATAGTGGACAGCAGTGAGGACGAGGGTCTTATGGAAATCGGCGAGGTAAGAGCTGCAGCCTCTGAGACTGCACCTTCACCTGTGGAGCCAGCCAACAGATTGCTGCTTGGGGAAACTCTCCCCCCCGGCATACCGCCCCCCCCCCTCAAGGAGATACGCGCCGAGATCGAGTCGGCTCGGCAATATGAAGGGCCCAAAGCACTGACGGTGGATGACTTCAATGCCGCGCTGGAGGTCATTCTGCCCCAATTATTTAGCCGCATAGGGCTATTGTCCAAAGCCGGCAAAACGGCGGACGTTTTCCCTCCCGGTCCCGACCTTAGGCCCGCCGTCCCTAAAAAGGGAGGGCACCCCAGTTCACGGAGCCGGGAGAGGGATAACCCATCCCTTCTGCTAGTACGTCCAGGTGTCTCGATGCGCAGGGGGGATACCACAGGTCAAAGATATGCGTGTTGATTCCTGTATGGATCCCTTGGATAATAGCGACTACACGCACCCGAAGCGCTTGCTGACCAGTGCAGAGAGCTGCAGGGTTCCCAACTGGTAGTAGACATTGTCTACGAAGATCTCACCAGTGATCATGACTGGTACCGCGGGGGCCGGGTGTCCACGGGGTTGTCCCCGTCCTGGTCATTGGGTACGACCATCGCGGGGGCAGTGGTTTAATGGCCGAATGCTGGCTAGGAATGATTAGTTCTCGGTGGATGAGCTGCATACCATCAGCTCGGGAACCAGCCTGCTTAGCTAGTAGAGTGTGGAAAGTCGCTCGCCGCAACCAGTCGGATGTCACCGGGACCTGCATTCCGTGGAATTATAC